AGTATTTTAGACTTGGATATATTGAATTTCATGTGCTACAAACATGTTTGTTATTCTTTTTAGAAATTCAATATTTTGTTTAAGTGTCAAGATCTTAAAAGCTTAATTTTGCTTGGAATACATTTATTGAGGGGGAGCTTTGATTTTTCAAATTATTTTTAAATGTAAAATTTACTACTTACTCTCCAAAGTTATTTTAAACTTCAAAGATTGAATTATTTTTGATATAATAAAAAGGGGGAGAAGTTTAGTTTGAAAAATTCAATTTCTTAATGAAAAAGGGGAGCTTAACATTTTCATATGTTTTCCAACAACAAGTATCTTTTTCATTAAACATTTTATTAAGGGGAGTTTTTGCCAAAAACAATTTTTCAAATATTTTGTTATATCAAAAAGGGGGAGATTGTTGAACTATGTTTCGATATAACAATTTAAGGCAAAATGGTTTTTGGACTTGAATTGAATTTACAAAATGTATTTGGACTTAATTGAATTTATTCAAAATTTAAAAAATAATTCAAAGTTCTTTTAATTTAAAATTGAGCACAAAATGTTTTTATGAATAGTAATTTACTATTTGAACAGTATGTAAAAGGGGAACCGAGGCTCAAAATTCCAGTATGTAAAGGGGAACCGATTCCCCCCAAGGGGGTACCGATTCCCTCACTGTTCATCAGCCCAACGGTCATAATTTGAATATTATGAAGGGTATCGATTCCCTATGAAGGGGTACCGATTCCCCCCATTCTGGGCAGCTTATTTTTGCAGAAAATCATTCCCAAACGGCTCCAAAACATCCCCAACGGCTAGATATGACTTCAAACACATTCCAAGCTATAAATACAAGCTAAGGACACTTGAAGAAGTAAGAGAACAACTATCCAAGTAATCAAACACAAGAGAAGAGTTTTTCATTCTTATTTCATCTTTCTCTTGTAAATATTTTGTTCTTCTGAGCTTAATTCTTGTAAACACCTACCTTAGAGAGGTTTTATTGTTTACATCTTTTATCCTTTTGTAAAGGGGAAAGGTTCTAGCTTAGCCCGTGTAAAAGCTAGGGAAAGGTTCTAGTTTAGCCCGGAAAAACTAGGGAGTTTGTAAGGTTACTCTTTATCCTCAAAAGAAAGAACAAATTAGTGAATTTGTTGGAAAATCCTTTGTGAGGAGCTAAGGTAGTGGATGTAGACTTTGATTGAGAAAGTCGAACCACTATAAATCGCTGTCCAATTCTCTATCTTTCAATCTCCTTACTCCCTAAACACAAAACCGTTCCGACCCCTCTTTGCAAATCGTTCCGGTTGTCGTTTCGAGCTTCCGAAAATCATAACAGTATGATTTTTAGATTCAATTGTTATAGTGAGATTTTGGATATTTATGAGTATTAAATTGAGACAAGTTGGTTTTGATAAGTGAAATTGAGTTTAAAGGCATGAAATGAGATAAAATTGGAGATTTGAGTGAGTTTTTGGTTAATTATCAAAATGAAATAGCTAAATTCTGGGCAAGGATATCGGTACTAGAAGAACAATATCGATACTTCAAGGTAAAACTAGTTGAATTCGAGGATCAGTATCGATACTGATTGAAGAAGGTATCGATACTGATTGAAGAAGGTATCGATACTGAAATGGGGGTATCGATACCTATAGTAAGGTATCGATACCATTATCAAGTATGAAATTCCAGAATGCCAAAATGGTATCGGTATCGAAGTGGGTATCGGTACTGTAGGAAGGGTATCGATACTAGTGCGCCTGAAATAGTCAATTAGGTGTTTCTTTCAGCTTAAGTTATTAATGTTTGGTTAATAGCAATATGAATTTCGATATTCATCTCGATTGTATTATTGTGTAGACGTTAAACGAAGGCAAATTTTGGACGATTCGACGTTATAAGTTATCGATCAAGATTGATAAGGATCTTGCTAGAACTTACGTGAGACAAAGGTGAATGCAACTCATTTTTTTATATTAGATTTGAGGGTGGTTTGCGATAAGACAACCTTAGAGATTTCAATCGAAAACCATTTTTATTTCTTTTATTTACAATGTTTTATTCAAGTTATATTTCTTAAGCTATGTTTTGAATTTTATCTGTACATGATTATGAAAATGTGATATGTGAATATGCTTATGTGAAAATGTTCGATGTGAAAGTGCCTATGTGAACAAGACACACTTTGAGTAATGAAATGATAAATAATTATGTGGTCAAAAGCCCAATGTATATGTATGAGAATTAGAGGTATAGTTGACATGCCAAGAGTTGAGGTTTCTATCCTATGTGGTTCTTCGGGACAATCTTATGTGGTATTTCGGGACAAAACTATGCGGTCCTTAGGGACAAAACTATGTGGTCATTCGGGATAAATATGTGGCACTTCGGTGCAAATTATATGAGTTGCGATGACAACATTATTACACAACCTCAATGTATTCAAATACCTAGAGTTCTCAATAATATACATTGGGCCATTGAAAACATTGTTATATGAATCGAACAATGTATAAAAGAATCTATTATTGTTATGAAAAGAAATTTGAATCTCTTATTAAATGTTTTTATGAAATAAATAAGAATTTTTTATAAAGTTTTATGTGACTCGTATTTGCCTCACTAAGTCAATGACTTAGCGTGTGATTATTTCACATATAGGTTTGAAGAAAGCAGAGAGCTAAAGCTAGGCAAGGACAACATACTCCCCAATGTTTTTAAAACCGGACCGGACATTGAATCGGTGAAGCTACTGGTTCACTGGTTCAACCGGGTTCAACCGCGGTTGAACCGGATTTTATATAAAATAATATTTTTTTTAATTTTACATAATATTCAAAGCAATATTAATATATATGTAACACTTTTTTTAAGTTTACAATATTAAAAGGTATCAAAATATCACAAGTCATAACATATATAAATTAAAAACCGTAAAATCAAGTGAAACAAAATGATTCAAATCAACTACAACATAATATTTAAGGTAAAACATATTAAATAATAAATATAATTATATAACTATAATCAAAAAAATAAAATTGGGGCTTAAAAAAATCATAACAAATGATTTCATTTGGTTTAATTTTTATTTTTAAAAAAGTAATCCCACATGGCTAAGAAACATAGAAGAGCATCCCAACTTACTTCTATAAATAATAGAGGTAATTTGACATTCAAAATCATAGAGCCTTTTGGTGAGCACATAGCGAACTATTGTTTTGCTTCAATTGAGCTCTAATTTTAGGCTTCAATCAAACTTCTAATTTTTTTTTTGAGTTCGAGCCTTTTCGAGTTCAAGTTTTAATATTATATTTCGAGTTTGAGTTAAACTTGATAATTTTTAGCTCGTGAGTTTTTGAGTCGAGTTGAGCTTACTTTTAAAGTTTTCGAGTTCAAGTCGAGCTCAACAATACTCGAATTTGACTTGGCTTGTTGAACAAATGACGTCGTTTGGTTTAATTTTTTTTAAAAAGAAAAAAAGTGAACCGGCGATTCAAACCGATTTTGTCGATTTTCAGCCGGTTCATCCCGGTTCTACCGGTTTTCAGCCGGTTCATTGCCAGACCGATTTTGTGAGGTAACCGGATCGACAGGCCACCGGTTCATGGTTCAACCGGTTGAACCGGCCGTTCCGGTCCAATTTTGATAACCATGATACTCCCTCAAAAGATCAGATCAGACCAATTTAAATCTTATGTTCTTGTTATTAAGTTTAAAGTATAATGTTCTGATCAGTCTTGTAATCAAACATTTTTGTATTTATGTAAATTATTAAATATTTTATTTAAAGGTGAATGTGTGTTTTCATTATTTACTTTAATTCAAGGGTTCCACCATCTTCATACAAATAAAAGTTTAAATTTTCCTCCACTTTTTAAGAGTCAATAATTTGAAAAGTCAATGTGACACATCAGATTCATATCTGGGTTGGGTACGGGTTAAGGGTGTTACATATACTTCGTGAACCCTAGGATGAAAATCACGATCCCACGCGATTTCGACTGCCAATCGACGACAACTATGACATTGTATGACTAGTAAGATGGTAGGGACTACGTTGGCAGTGGTGATCATGGTTGAAAAGGACAGTGGTGACATGTTAAGGTTAGGATTTGGGGATTCTAGAGATTTTGGGGGTTTTTATAATTTAAGAGAAAATATGGTTTTTTTATAAATACAATAATATTTCAAATATTTTTTTAAAAAATAAAATTTTAAAATTACCAGATTGTGACACGTGTCACTTAACGGGAAAATTAACACCGTTGATAATCCAGGCACCTAAAGTGGTAAGGTTTGTAACGTTAGCCACCGGGATGTGTCCAAAAATACTTTAGGCACCTATTTGAGAAAAGTGATATAGTTTGGACACTTATTTTGATATTAAGCCAATAATATATATACACACACTTGGATTTTATCTTACTAATTTATTATTTAGCACATTGCTAATAAAATAGAAAATAATAAAAATAAAATATTTATACACTTTAACTCTATTATCGGATTAAAATCGGGGCAATGTTTGGTTCATATCAGGTTTGGAAAAATTAAATTTGGGTTACTTTCGTTTTGGTTGCTTTCATTTCGAGTTTTTCTAGTTCAGGTTACTTTTTGTTTAATTAAAATTCAGATCGATTTCAGTTCTGGTTCGGGTTACCTTCAATTTGACTAAATTCTAATTGATTTTGGTTTGATTCTATTTTTTTCGAGTTTCGGATCAAATTTAAATCATCATGTTTGGATTTATTTCAAAACTCGATTCGAATAACTTGGTTTAAGTAATCAGAATCGGATCAAATTTACTACGTCTACGTAAAATCATATATATAAACAATAAAAATCTAGTCCATCTCCTATTTTATCCATTCCCGTAAAATTTAATTCTTCTTCTAATAATCAAATAGAAAACAATTTGACAAATATTTATTTATTTGTTTTGGCAAGCCCTTCCTTATCTGGGACATAAAAGGAATCTTTGTATCTCTTATCTCCTTGCTTCTCTTTTGTTTCTATAATTTGGTTGCTTTTTTTCTTTCTTCTTTTCAAGTACCACCACCATCACTCACATTACCCCAGAAAAGCAAATTAATTAGGGAAAATTCATAAATTCCGACCAATCAAAACCCACCACTTTCTTCCATTTTTCATCCTAAATGAGCTACGATCGGAAAGTCCTTTTCTTGTCTTTTGCAACTAGGGTTTGTTTCAATGGTTCCTTCCTGATGTCATTTTTTTATAGTATTTGATTCTGCTGGCATACTTCGGAAAGCAGAAAACAGTTATGCAGCTAATCTCTTGATCACAGTTCATATGTTTTCTATTTATCTCTTTCCCATATACATTTTCTCGATACTTGGAACTACCTTTTCTGTTGTATTTCCTTTGTTTGAGCTGAGAAGCTGAGATCTCTATGTATATTGGGTTTGATTTCTTGTGACTAAGCACCAATTTGTTTATCTGCTTCGTAGCATAGTAAAGGAACTTCCTTTTCAAGTTCAGATTTTGATTTCCCAGGAAAATTATTGTTGCTGTCCTTGTTTACTTGAACAACACTTGGGTTTGTTCTTTGTTTTCAGGGTTTAGATAAATTATTGTCCAATATGACGAGACAAAAGATTGAGATAAAGAAGATAGACAACACTGCCGCGAGGCAGGTGACTTTCTCGAAGAGGAGAAGAGGGCTTTTCAAGAAAGCTCATGAGCTTTCCACTCTGTGCGATGCTGAGATAGCTCTTCTGGTGTTTTCAGCCACCGGCAAGCTCTTTGAGTACTCCAGCACCAGGTTTATAATCTATGGCACTTTCCTTTTGTATCATATATTATATATATTTTGAATAGTTGTATCATATTCATGTGTTCCGTACCTGCTTGCTTTCTATGGTAGATTTGGTTTGAGATGAACTGTGGGGGTGAGAAAGGTTAATTGCTTTGGAACAAGATCTGCAGAATCGAGAGAACTGTAAAAACGTCTAATTTCATAATGACTAGATGTTCTTGAATCTTATATTTCTATGAAAAAATTAAAAAAAAAACAAAAAGTTGTTTAAATAATTCATGTCAGAAACTGAGTGGAGTCTTAGGGTTGGGAGCCTGGCAACTGAGAAAAGAGATTGTTTCATCAACTTGATGATTTCTAGTTCCTAGTTTCCTGAAACCTTGTTTCAAGCGTTCCATGTATCTTCAATTACCCACTTCCATTACAAGAACTTTTGACTCCAAGTTGATGTAATTTCAGGATGCATCCCAATAAACCCACACAAAGTAAGCCAATATGAACATCATTGATCACTCAATCAATTAATCGCTCTTATTATACAAGACTTTGTAGTTTTTAAATTTTAATAATTGTTGAATGAGTGAAAATAGATCTAAGAATAATAGTATAAAATGAAAATATATTCACAAAAAAAAAAAGAAATACATTCATATATTTATTTCCACTCATCAAACTATCTTAAAAGATGTATAACTTTTAATTTTACACCTAGTGTAATATATATATTACTAAGACAACCCATTAAATAAAAAATGAAAACCCGAATGCAAGGGTGTCCTGGAGTAGTAGAAAGAAAAGCGAAAGAGCTTAAAAAAGAGAATACATCAGATGGGCAATAAACATGGGAAGACAATTCCCTAATTACATATGATGCATACTCATAAATATGTAAAACAAGGCCGGTTCTCTTCTTTTCATACAAAGGCTAGTCTCAACTTTTGCAAAGATGTACCCTTGCTTGCTCAAGTTCAAGGTTCTAGGGTTCCTTGTAATTTTAATTTACAAGTTATTAATTCCCCTTATATTTTTCGTCTTAACATTTTTTCCCAACGAATAAATTCATGTTTTATTAATGATATCACTCGGTTTAATAGATACTTGCAACCTTGCTATTCGCATGTGGATTTATTTAAAATGTTTTTTAGTTTTACATTAAGTACAATAGTCTAGAGTGATTATAAGGTAGTATCTGTTAAAATATTTTTTAGTCTATTAAGAACTTACGCACCTTGAAGATGCATATTCTCAAATCCGAGTTCTCTAGAGAGAATAACAATTTTTAACCCACTGAAATCACTAAATTAGTTTGATAAACTTATTATAATATTTTTAAAGTTGAAAACATAATTATAATCTTTACATTGCAAGAATCCCAAGCAAAGTAACGAGAAATTGCTCCTTAGATCACCATGCTATATATCAAAGATTATGATGTTCTTAAGTGATTCCATAAGAACTGATTAAACATTACTTTATTGTATTAATTAATTTTTATATTGGATGCATTGTTTTTATTGAACGTATTATAAAATATTTCATTAACTGCATTTTTTTTGGTCTAGTACGAGGCAGGTGATTCAAAGGCGTGGTTTACTACCGGAAAGGATTGACAAATTGGATTCAACTCCATCACTTGATCTGCAGGTTAATGGTGCTTTTAATTCCTTATTTTCTTATTGGAATATATCATATCTTAAAGGATTCTTCGATAAGGAGATAAGCCGTTGCAAACAAATGAAAAGGAATATATTATTTGTAGGTGTAGAGAATGAGAACCATAAAATTAGGTATTGAATGGTGATAATGAAAAAACACTTTCAGTTACAAAGATATTAATGATTTATCACTTATCCCAAAAAAATATATTAACGATTTATTAAAAGGAGTTTATATTATTACCAACGGGTTGATTGAAGTAGTAAGCAGCTTGATATCGTTTAAGCAAGATCTCATGTTTGAGTCATTGTGTATATAGAGAATCCCCACTGGGAGATTACACATTTGATTTGTCGGGTCCAGTTCACCTAACATTCATTAGGACACAAATTAAAGTAATGTGTCATATTCTCTGGTTATTTTCATCTTTTCTACTTCGGCGAAGTAGTGTCAGATGATGTTTTGAGTGACATTTATTCTAAACATGAATTGGGTTAAATGTAGTGATTTTTTAATAAAGGTTGGTATAAGCAACGGCAATTCTAATGAGAAGTTTTTCTTTTTGCGCACATATAAATTAAAATAGTTTTTTGTATTTTGAGTAAACTTTAGAACCATCTCTAAGGGAGAGAAATCTTAGTATAAAACTTTAAGTAACTACTCGCATATCATGCAAAGTCATCTATTTTTATTCGTAAAATAAAAGGTGAATGTGTTTCATAGATCAATCAGATGAATTACGCACATCTAAGAATCTTTTGTCTAGAGTATGTGAAAGTACCACGTTCGTGTTTTTTTTTTCATTTTCAATAATCTAAAATGATTACAAGATAGTATTTATTCAGAATTTTTTTAGTCATTAACAATACATCATATACATGTAGATATTGTTTGAACTCAAAACCTCTAAAGAGAACAACATATTCTTTAACATCGAACCCACCTGATAGTATTATTGTGAAATAGTGACATCTAATAGCCCATTTTGTATACTATTTACTTGGAAACCGAAACCCATTTTAACGAACAAGTTTTCATTCTGGTTTGTTTTAGCTCGAAAGCGCCACACGTAACATGTTGAGCAAGGAAGTTGCAGAAAAGACCCGAGAACTGAGGTAAATATTTCTCTAGTATAGTAGGTTGGCAGTTTGTGGGATCTTGGATGTGACTCGATTGTATTGTTGTATTCTTCTGATTGTCTGGTTGTATATAGAGTTTAAATAGGTGACAGACTGACAGGTGCTTTGCTTTTGAATCTTTTCGTGTTTTTTTGTTGGTATTTATATTAGGTTTTAAATTCAGTCTTGGCTGCAGTGTTTGTTTCAGTATCAGTTTGGGAGTGTTTGTCTCATCATGATGATATTGTGACAGACAGCTGAGGGGAGAAGAACTCGAAGGATTAAACCTTGAAGAGTTGAAACATCTAGAGAAATTACTCAAAACTGGCCTAACCCGAGTCACAGAAACAAAGGTTTTTCAAACTCCAACTGATCCCCTAATCTTTGCTTTTCAAAAGTTTTATTGCTAATGGTGAAGTTTAATTTCATGTTTCAGGATGATCGATTTTTGAAAGAAATCAGCATACTTAAGAGGAAGGTGATATAAATAGCTAACCATTCCTAGGGTTTATACGTATTCTTGTACATGCATGTCATGGCTTTTTCTTCAATGGTTATTTTTGATAGTCTCGAGTGATTATAAAGTATTATTTATTCATATATATTTTTAGTTATTGACAACACACGCATACACCTTACAAGTACAGTTGTCCGAACTCGGATCCACTAGAAAGAACAACGCTCTCTTTTATCACTTAGGTTGAGATGAACTCTGATTATTAGACTATGGAAAGCATATGCTTCTGCATTCAAATAATTTAATAGCAAAAGGATCCACTTTATTGTTTTCTCAGTAACTTTTGTCTGAAAAAGTAACCTACTACTCATCGTTGTTGAATTTGAAGGGAGCAGAACTCGAGGAAGAAAACCAGAAATTGAAACAAGTGAGTGTTGAATCATTTTTGGAAACTTGATTGTTGTTTCTCGTTTTTAGGGTAGTTTTGTTGCACAGCGGTTTAGCTTACAGTGGACTTTAATGTAAAATGTTATCTTGTCTAACCAAAAAAATTATAAAATTGATAATAATTTCAGTTACAACGAAAAATGTTACGTTACATCGGTTTTTAACCTAAATATTATTTGTTTACTCTAAAAGGTAATATAATTGGTAATAATTTTGATTACAACCGAGAATGTATTTGCTGTAACTTTTAGGTTTGCAACCGGATAGTTATGTAATTTACATAATTTGTTATGGAGAATATAATGTTTTCAGTTTCAACTTAAAACGTTATTCTGTCCAATTTAATAAGTTATGCACTTGATAACTTTTTCAGTTACAATTGATTTTTATCGTTTTTTTAGCCTTATATTAACTGGATGTATCGTAGACTCGTCCATCGCATTGCTTTCAATATTGTATTCACAACCAAGTCTAATATGCTAGGTGGAGAATTTACCTCATGCGGTCCAAGAAATTGTAGGGCATCAAGGCCAGCCATCAGAGCCAGTTGCCCTTGTTCACACATCTAGAAACCCTCGGCCTCATGGATACAATAATAGCTCTGATATTTCCCTCACACTGGGGTATGTAGTCCTAAAAAAGTAGGGTTATTTGTACTTTATTGCTAATATATGCTTATGTATCTGGTATAGTCCGACCTGAGTGTATCATCCAATGCCATTTTGCAGGTTACCTTTCCCTAACTGATAGAAAGATTAGAGGGGATGTTGTGAAGAAATGATCATCTTCCAGCATGATGTCTCATCTTTAAAGGGCCATTTTTTCCAAGTAAATATAGAACACGACTTATTTATTTTAATCTACTTGTGTATCTATCTTCTCGAGATAACTAATTTTTATTGATGATTAGGGAAGATAGTGAAAATGGGATATCCAACACTATCTGCTTCCAGTAGTGAAAATATAGTCAAAGATAGCTCTAAAATAGGTATTTACAATATTCGATTTAAATTAATCGATCAATAAATCATATATTAATCATTAAAATAAAACAATAACTATTCCGTTAAGATCTCCGCCAGACGACACTAGCATTTGCCGTGGGCTCTATTTTACAACTTTCGGCTACTAACATATTGCATATAAATCTATTAGAAATATAACTTCTCACTTTTATTTCATTTAGAAGTCTATTATCTCATCTCACTAGATGCTATTCACGGTTTGTATATTCTTTTAATTTGTCACGAATTTGGGAAGAATTTTAAGTAGAATTAAAAAAATAAAGTAAGAAGATGAGAGAAGTAAAATTCAGAAAAATTGATTTAATTCATTAATAATATCTTTCTAAATGCTTAATAAATGCTTATAGTTATTCAACAATACATTTTTGGCAGCTACAAAAGTTGTAATATCTAACAAACTAATGGTAAGCTTCTTTGTTGGTTCTCTCATGTTGGCAGACAGGGTTTGTTACTGGGCCATCTCTATTCACATCCTTCCAGCTCAATTGATTGATCTGCTCGTTCTTATACTTACTTGGGCTCGCCTGATTAGCATGGTTACTAGGTTTTTCTTGGCCCAATACGACAAAAAAAAATTATTTAGCCCAATAGGGGACATTGTAGTTGTTTTGGGATCTACGACATTAGCTACAATATAGTTGGAATTCATCACATCGAGGCGACGAGTTCTGTTGGAAATAATTTTTAAATAGACACATGAATATTTAATCATTTTTCTCGAACTCGTCACGTCAAGGTGATAAGTTTCATTAAAATAATATTGTTTTTTTACTTTTCGAGTACTTTTTTTACAAAAATAAAAAAGTGGAACTCGTCATGCTGAGGTAACGAGTTTCATTAAAATATTATTTTTTTAAATTTAGTAACTGTTTATAGTAGCTGACAAACTAACAACATGATTTTTTTTGAATTGATGGAACTCATCACGTCGAGGTGAAGGTTCCAATGATTATTTTTACAAAATTTAATTATAAATAGGAGTGGGTGAGTTGAGTGTATATGAGATTGAATTCATGTATTTGTGTGAAGAATATTATTAAAATTTTCGAATGATATATTTGGGTTTGATTACTCAGACATAAATGATTCAGATTCGAGCTAACTTTAAATGAGTAGCGGGTAAAAGAAGCTATGAAGTCAATACTTGATCAACATGAGGAGAGAAGGAAACTTGAAGAAGAGAAGAAGAAGTATGAAGAGTTATCGATCCAACATAGCAAACATCTTATAAAGAATAATGAAAAAAAATTGTGTAGAAATTGAGAAGAAGAATGAGAGAAAAAGTCATTTTGTATGTTGATGAAATGTTTTAAATATATGTATGAATTTTGTGTTTAGTTAAAAGTTATTTATAAGTAGTATGCAATTATAAATGAAAAATTAAAAATGTAGATGGATAATGATGTTTATAAACAAATTATCCGACGATTGATACAATAAAATAACATGAGAATTTTCATTACAAAGGTTTTATCGGTCCGTTTGATATTTAGGAAGAAATGGATAATGGTTCTTGTTGTGGCCTTCACCTCAAAAGTGGCCACAAAGTTTTAACATACCTTGCTCTCGTTGAGGATCATCCATATCAATATGAATTCGAGTAGATTCAGGCCGACCCTTCAACTTTCTTCGTAATTATGGATTTGGCAACCATTCTTCAAAAGTTGTTGGTGGCCAATAAGAATCGTTTGGGATATACTTAAACTCGCAACTGCATAATACTATGTAGGCTATAACAATGATCAACTAGTATGCATGCTATAACAATCATCAACATATGAGTATGGATCAATATTAACATATATACATGCAGTAATAACGTGAGGGCAAGGGTATCTGAAAGCTTGAAAATGTCTACAATCACACCATCTTCTGTTCAGATTACCAGTTTATGTGGCAGAATTACCACCCTCATGTGGTCGAACAAGTGCTTGGACAACATAGTCAGAATCAAGTCTGGCAAAATTATGGACAAACATTGATGTTGCATGTGTTTGATTTTTGTTCATTGCCTTTTCTAAATCTGGAGCCCAATTTCTACCATCATTGATCATTGCCTCTATTGGTGCACCTTTGTCCACCCAAACTTTACCCAACCAAAAGTAAGTCTCCCTAACAATACTTGCAACCGAAAGATGTTTAGTCCCCTTTAAGCACTAAAATTATACATTTGGCAATATTGGTGGTTATATAGTCGTAACATCGACCCTGATCATCATATGCTTGTGACCATATTTTCTGAGGTATTTCAACTCTAAAGTTGTAAACATCTTCTCCGTATTTCGTCAAATTTTTCAGCCTTGCACGAAAGTTCAATTGTAGTAAAACATATCCTAAAAAAGTTATATTTCAGAATAATAATTAGAGAAGAACATAAATTATGCAAAAATCATGAACGAAAAAATAAGAATAAGTTACCCATGTTAATAATATTTTTTTGTTGATATTTTTGTTCATAAATCTCGCCATAACATTAGAAACAATATAACGTATGCAATACACCGGGTATGCATGGGGAGGCGACCATTTGCTTCCCGGTCTATCAATCGTGGACAATAACCCAGGTGAACAGTCAGATATCATACAAATCCCATCTTGAGTGACAACATGGGAGCGCAAGTTGGAGAGAGAAAAAATCCACGTTTCTTTCGACTCATTCTTAACAATGGCAAAGACAATGGAGAAAATGTTTCTGTCACCATCTTGTGCAACAACTATCATTAGGACTTATTTGTATACGTCATACAAAATGTGCCATCCATTGGAACCATTTTTTTACAATACCGAAAACCTTCAATATGTGACTTGAAAGCCCATAACAAGCCTAAAAAACTCTCTTCCCTGGAATAACTTCTCCATCAATAGTCATCGCAGAATGAGTATAATATCGTACAATGGTTCTGTGGATGAAAAATTTTATGGTGTGCAATAGATGTAGTAGCTCATTATACGACTGATCTCAATCACCGTACAACAGTTTCATCACCTTCTTTTTTGCCATCCATGACTTGTAATAAGACAAAAATATATCAAAAATCATTCTCGATGGATGGAACTATCATTGAAACCAAGATCCTTGGATTTTTCTTCACCAAAAGCTTCACATACGAGCATATGACATTAGAATCTAAGTGTTTGTGGTCGTGAGTCAATGAGCTTAATGTACAGCTGTGTGAGATATGAAACCTTTTTTACCTAACACAACATCTTAAGCTGTAAGTATGAAACATGTATCATCCACTTACAACCGACATTATGGTTAATACACTTGAAAAAGTATATCTTTTGATCAGACTCCACCGCATAGGATTATATATGAACTTTGATATGCAATTCCTTCACTGCTAGTTGGGCATCCTACTTAGTTTCAAATTGGGACCCAACTACCAACTCTGTTGAACCATCGTCGAAGGTACCCCAATGTGTTGTACATGTAGCTGACATATAAGGAATCTTAGGATTCCTCATGGCATCTTAGTTTATGTTATGCATTGCAACTGGAGGGTGATAGTGAGACATCTCAACTTAAGCCATTTGGTGCTAAGGGGGTGTTGTTGAATAGGCTCAACCCCTTGGATCATTCTACAAGGCATGGGCCCCATGAAATCATTGCCTCCCAGACATCACCCTCAACATAAAAACCTTGTCCCTCTAAAGCAGCTTCAGCGATATCAGAATCAACAATTATTGGTGTGTCATCGTCTAATATCATTGGAATAAAAGTTTCATCATCATCGTTAAACTCAGCAAGGCTTTCACTGAATCACCCAAAAAGGTTGTCAATAGTTGATGGTCATGCTTCTTCAATGACGAACAACACTATTGATGAGGTAGAAATATCCATATCATTTTTCATCTTCGCTTATATCTCGATCATTTGATTATTTGAAGATTGATGCAATCCAACCATCACAACAACACCACCATCATCCTCAAGCTGGATCGCTCCATATGTGAGTGGAGTCAATGAATTGTATGTCGATAACTCAAACACAAAATTGAAGCTTTAAGTTTTCTTTCGATTTTCTGCTTCATGTGACGATGAGAAACATCTATCAAAAACATCGTGTTTACAGGTCTCTATGACGTAAACACAACACCATCATCGATTTGTAAAATTTCACCATTTGAATGAACAACTGTGAAAATTTGTTAGCCATTGTTTGAGAAAAATTTTCTAGTGCTTCAATGAAATTTTAGAAAATAGAAGTTTAAGCAAATTTAAAAGCAAAACGACTTTTTCTCATATCATCAATGACCAATCAATTTAGTGACAGAAACTTTTCAGTAATATATCACTTCATTCAGAAACTTTTCAGTGGCTAATTAATACACTTTTCAGTGGCTAATTAATTCACTTCAGACACTTTTCATTGATATATCACTTTATTTCAGAAACTTTTCATTGATAAATAAATTCATTTTAGAAAAACGTCCTTTTCCAAACAAAAAATAATTCACTTCAAACACTTGTAATTGATATATCACTTCACTACAGAAACTTTTTCATACAAAAATTAATTCACTTCAAAAACTTTTCATTGATATATCACTCCACTGTAGAAACCTTTCAGTGATAAATCAATTTATTGTATAAACTTTTCAGTGATATATCACTTTATTTTACTTTTATATCAGACAATGACGGACATAAACCTATTTTTTATATAAACCTATTTTTTTTATATCAGCTCATCCTATAGGAAACGCTTCCCGAGGGCCTATAAATATGTGTGAGGTGAAACAAAAAATATCTTATAAAAATTGAGTCTTTCACTTTCAAAACTTGACTCTTTTCCTAACATGGCTACTATTCTTGCAATTGTCTTTTATGATTGCAAAATTTTAACCATGTCTTTAAAAAAATTCAACTAAACGAGTTGAATTT